TATACCTTCTTCTCCAAAGTGCATGGAACATTCTCTAGAATAGATCACATTCTAGGTCACAAGGCAAGCATCAGTAGATTCAAAAACATAGAAATAATACAAACCGTCTTATCAGACCATAATGCCACAAAAATTAGAAATTAATAATAGGATGATAAAGGAGAAAAAACCATACATTTGGAAGCTGAACAACACCTTGCTTGAACATGACTGACTCGTTGATATTAATACAGCCACTGCAGGCCCTTGCCCATCTTCACACTTTGGACCTATTTGAATCTAAAATGTGTCTTTTGAAATCATTAAAAAGTTACATCTTTCAAAAGCAAACCAAAAAGCAAAATCCCCAGAAACCCGTCATTCTCCCAGTTTCTGTTACCCGTCATTCTCCCAGTTTCTGTTACCATTTGAAGAGTTGGATACATTTATGTTTCATTAATATTGATAGGTAGAATGATGTCTTTTTTTTAAATGTAGGTTTTTTAAGTTCTATATTGGTTTGCTTACAAAGTTCGTATACACTGTGTTTCACACTATCCTTCATTTATACTGTGTTTTATACAATCATTCCCATTTTGTTTTTTCCAAATAAGCAAAAACTTTAATAGGTATTTTCAAAAAAAGAGAAGAAAGTACTTCTTGCTGGGTACACAAGACAGTGCAATCATTTTGGAAAACAGTTTATAACCTTTTTTGGTCAAGTTAGACATGCAATTAACATAAAACCCAAACATCTGTCTCCTGGGATGTTTACCCCAAATGAGTGAAACCTATTCTCATACACACAACATACAGATGATGAGAAATCAAGGAATCCAGCCTCTAAGTCTGCATAATACCCTAGAAAAGGTTAAAACCAGTGGCAGAAAACAGGAACTGGAAGAGGAGAGGAATACGTAAGTGTGAGTTTTCTGGGTTGATGGGTTCTCTATCTGACATGTGATGGATGTTGTATGACTGTATGCAAACATTTTTAAAACTCAGAGCTATACATTAAAAAGGGAGAATTTGACTGTATGTGAATTGAGCTTCAAATAATCTAAGGCCAGAGATAAAATTCTAAAGGTCACACTGCTTTAGAAATGGCTAATGAATTTATGAGAATTTTTTTTTTTGAATTTATGAGAATTTAAAGATTTAATTAAATGCTCCTCAGTGCAGAAAGCCAAGACTAAACTTACTAATTACTGTTGGCTGGCTACCTGTTATTTGCATGACACTGTGATAATTGTTTTAAATAGATTCTTTTTAATCCTCAACAGTCCTGCACATATAGTGTTATCTTCATTTGAAAGATCAGGTAAACGGAACATCAAAAATTGAAAGGTCAGCTTGTGTGCAATTTTCTTAAATCTCAGTTGTCTCCACAGCATTTTTAGTTATTCGAGTAAATCCGGTATTTTTTTTAATAAACAGGGGATAGTGCGAACTGTTTTATAATAATATTATTCACTATTGAACTATACCCACCATTAGCCGATCTGTCTGTCTTTCGTGTTAGATCGTTTCTGATGGTTCATTTTCATTCCCTTGTCATTTTTCTTACTGTATGTGTTGGAGGTATTTTCTTAGTGATTTCCATTGAGATTGCAATAAACGTCTTACTCTAGTTCACATTAATGCTACTTCAGTTTTAACAATGTACAGAAACCTTCATCCTCATAACTCAGCCCCTTCTTGGGGCTGTTACTGTCATGAATTGTAGCTTTATGCACTGTGTGGCTGTTTGTTGTTGTTGTTATGTGCCGGCGAGTCGCTTGTGACTCATAGCGACTCTATGTACAACAGCCCTAAACTCCGCTCTGTCCTGTGCCAATCACACTGTCTCTGACACTCCCATCCCAATTATCCCAGTCACTGAATCAATCCACCTCATAGAGGGCCTTCTTCTCCCATGCTGTCCCTCCACCCTCCCAAGCATGATGTCCTTCTCCAAGGATCGGTCTCTCCTCGCAACATGTCCAAAGTATGTTAGATGGAGCCTCAGAATCCTTGCCTCCAAGGAGCCACCCAGTTTAACCCTTTCTAGGACGAATCTGTTTATTTTCCTAGCAGTCCATGGTATTCTCAATACTCTTCTCCAGCACCACAGCTCAAAGGCATCAATTCTCCTTCTATCCTCCATGGTCATTGTCCAACTCTCTGATGCATAACAAGTGATTGTGAAGATCATGGCCTGTATCAAACACACCTTAGTCTCCAGAGATACACCATTGCTCTTCAGTACTTTGGAGAGGTCACAGATTAATAGTTACTGCTTTATACAACTGTCTTAAAGTTCATGAGAGAAAAACAAAGGTTGCCTTTGTATCTAATGATGCTGTATCAGAAATGCTACAAGTAGAGGACTCTAAAAGTTTAGGAAATTGGTAGTCTGAACTCAAGATTCAGCCCTAAAGAGAGGCCCCTCTCTGTGTTGCTTGAGGAGGAGGAAGGTCCTTCAGTCTCTGTGCTCCTGGTGTGTCCCTGGAGACCTCCACGTGTTCTGGTTTTTTTCCCAGTCAACCAGCTCCATTGCACAAGGACTGAGGTCCAAAAAGGTTGCACTCTCTGTTTCTTGGTAATACTGATACACTCCAGTCACCTCGCCTCACTTTCTTCTCCTTTCATCTTGAGAGAAATAAACTATATTAAAGGGCACATCCTAGGAGAACTCCCCTTACATACAATCAGGGCTGTGTTGGGATTAGGGAGTGTTACAATGCACTCTAATTCCTGCAGCTATTTGTTTAACAGATTATGGAGGATAATGGAATATAGCATCCACATTAAATCATTGTATACATGTATTCTGGGGAGATGCAATTCAACCCATGACAGAATTGTAAAGGAAAACACATGTATACGTTTTATAAATATTCTTGGCCTTGTGATTTCTGATGAACAAAGGGTTAAGGAGCAAAGTTAAGTGGCACCTTGGATTAAGCATGGGACTGCTAACTGAAAAGTCATCAGTTTGAATCCACGAGTTGCTCTGTGGGGAAAAAGATGAAGCTGTCTGCTGCTATAAAGATTTACAGCCTCAACAGCTTTACAGGGTGGTTCTACTCTGCCCTAGAATGTCCCTGCGTGGAGCATTCATGCTCCAGCACTGGGTTTAGCTTTGGTCTCTTGCACCTCAGTTTCTTTATCTTTAAAATGGGTGTAATAGTACTCTGCTTCCAGGGTTGTTGCGGGATTGAGGGAGTTAATTCATAGAAGCTTCGCCCAGTGCTTGCAGAAGGTGTCCTGGAAAACCCACGCTCTGTAGAAGGGAAGTAACATTTAATGAGCGTGCAGAAACAGTCAGGATGGGAAGACGTCGGCATTCTGTGCAACTTGAGCGGGAATCAGAGTCACAAAGTCAGAACTGGCTGAAAGACACCGAGGTGTGGCAGTCAGGAGGTCTAAGGTCGAGGACTTAGTGGGGAGAGGGAGTGTCACGTGTGGGGTGAGATGGTGGGCGAGCTCCTCTGTTCAGCCACTCTGCTGGTCCGGTCATTCTCAGCTGCTAATGGAAAGGTTGGTGGTTTGAACCCACCATCTGCTCTGCAGGAGAAAGCCGTAGCAGTCTTCTGTCATACAGCCCCCTGAGTCAGGATTGACCAGTTGAAGTGCTGGGTTAGCTCTTCCATTTATCACAGTATGGTCACAAGTCAATGCCAGGGCGAGCTACCTCTGCTCTCTCCATCACGTCTGTTTCTGGTGGCCTGTTAGGAAGATTTCTCGATAATGCTATGCAGCAATAATGCCCCTGTGCGTACGGGTTGAGCACTGGAGAGCCCCCCAGGGCTGTGAGATCCCACCCTGCCTGACCTCAGGGCAAAGGAAGGCTCCTGTCAGCTCCAGGTCAGGTCAGGAACCACTTCCAGCTACGGAGCCGCTGCTAGAACAAAACAAGCCAGCGTGGATCCCAGACCTGAGCACGGAGTCAGCTCCGTTCACACACTGCTCTCCTGACACACGCCAAATGCCTGTCTTTTCAGTTCCTTTTAACAAGATTTACTGTGGTTCTAGTGAAAGTTTACAGGAAGGATGGGTTTTCATTCACTCCTTTTCCTCTTTCCTTCTCCCCCAATTAATTCCCTTTGTAACATGTTCAGCGAGACTCTCCTACAGGCTGGGTGAAAGTGTGCTCTCTCCGGGAATGTGCACTCGGGGACCTTCGCTCCCTCCCTCTCTTGCCACCAGGAAGCTGGGTGGGAGAAGATGGAAGCCAAGCGGCCGGAGCCCGTTACCATCATCAGCCTGCGAAAGCTGAGCCTGGCGGCCCCCGAGCCCCAGCCCAAAGGTGGGAGCACGTGAACGTGCCAGTATCCCCTCCCTATTGTTATTTTTGAGAATAACGAACTGACCTCCCAACACCCTCCATTCCGCCTCATCCTACGAGCTTCTCTCCCACACACTCCCATCCTTTTCCTTAACCTTCACAGCCACCCCCTTTCCTCTTGGTCAGAGATCGAGACCTGCACCTCCTCTATTCCCTGTCCTTGTCAGAGACCAAGACCTTCACCGTGGAGGACGCCGTGGAGACCATCGGCTTTGGACGTTTCCACATCGCCCTGTTTCTCATCATGGGCAGCACCGGAGTGAGTGGTCTTCCAGTTCACGTCCCACCCAAAGTGAATCACACTGCTGGACACAGTGTTTGTTCCAGATTTCATTCCTGGGGGTCCGTCCAGGAGAGGGTGCCGTAGGAAAGACAGTGAAGTGGGTCACTCCAAATTAATCTTTGGTAGCAAATGCACACCTGTGACTCGAGGAATTCCATATTCATATAGGGAGTCGAAGTGAAGGTGGTGGGAGGAGGGGGGACGGTGGTGCCTGGAACATGCTCGTGTGCGCTGCAGACAGTGGCCGCCATCCTCCCGGACACAGGAATCGCCTGGTCGTCCATTGGTCCTCTCGGAGCCTCCTGTGAAGGTTTGCTGTTTACTGTCTGCTATTCTGAGTCAAAGTGGAGCCCTGGTGGTGCCATGGTTAAGCACTTGGGTGCTAGCCAGAAGGTCAGCAGTTTGAATCCAGAGCCTACTCTGGTAATTCGCTTCCATAAGGATTACGGTCCAAGAAACTGGACAGCTGGGCTTTGTCACATGCGATCACTGAGGTCCAGTTGACCAGATGGTGCCCAACAATGCTTTGTACAAAGAAGAGGGACAGTTCAATTGCAGGGCTGTCCCCAACAGTGGTGACACACAGGGACAAAACCGCTGCTGGTCCTCACTTACAGCTGGTGTGACAGTGCACAAGAATCCAGCACTGGGACATGCAATGACATAATGGAGCAGAAAAGCCCCCGACTCACTGCTAGCGAATCCAGAACCCTTACCCGCCAGCAGGTTTCCGGAGGCTGTAAATCCAGTGCGAGGAGATTGCCCGTCTTTCTCCCTTTTAGCAGCTGGTAGATTTGAACCACCTGCCTTTGGGTTGACAGCACAGCCCCTCACCACTAGGCCACAAAAGCTCCCAAGAATCGGCCACCTAGGACAAATAGTCAACAGACCCTTCTGGTTAACAGAGAAATGACATCGCGTGTGATTATGTGTCAGGCTGGTAACCAGAAGGTCACATTTGGAGGCCCCCAGCTGCTCCCAGGGGCAGGCTGGCCAGGCTCCTCCCCGGAAGACCTGCAGCCTCAGGAACTCGATGGCGGGTCACTGCGGGTCAGAACTGGGACTCAACAGTAATGAGGAAAACCCCTCTGTTCTAGAACGACTCTTTCTTTCAAATATATTTGAGCCTTGTCTTTTCATCTATGATAATGTTTCAGTGGGTGAAAAATAGAGTAGAATTTCTTTAACCTTCCCAAGTCAACCAAACCACTCCACACAAAAGTTCTCTCTGAAACTGCATCCAGACTTGAAAGAGGGTGCAGGTCCACGCCTTTCCACTAGATGGTAATCTGCACTGGCTGTCCTCAGACGCAGGCCATCCCGCGTGTCCACCTCCAGATGCACAGGCCGTGGAGGCTGTCTGTTGTCACTGGATGTTGAGAAATGGCCTCTGGTGTTTCCATTTTTCCTAACCCACCCCTGGGGTAGGGCCTTTTCTAGACCTTTCTCCTTCCCCCATGTCTCTCACACACAAGGGAAAAGAAGGGAGCATCTGGAGGTTTCCAGACCCCCAAGACTAGGATGTATGGAATAGCATCCTTGCCGCCCAACAGCAGCCTGCCCTCCATGGCCAGGACTTCTGAGGTCTTCCAGGACTTTCTTCTGCCAACCCAAAGTCAGGACATTTGAATCCACCCGCTCCTCCTCGGGAGAAAGATGGCCAGTCTCCTCTGGTGAGATTTACAGCCTCCAAAAGCCCTGGAGGGTCAGCTGTGAATCAGTTCTGATTCCAGGGCGATGAGTTGAGTTGTAATCGTCACAGAAGCTGGTTGCCCAGCCTTCCTGCAGCACCTCTGATGTCCTGGTCAACCTCTGGGTTAGTATTCAAGCGCCTATGCACCAGCGCCACCTTGAGGCCTGTGGACACATAGGTGTGCATACAGCTGGCCACGGAGGACAGGGAGGTGTGATGACAAGCCAGCCCCTAGACACTGCCCTGTGCCCCTCTCAGGTTGCTGAGGCCATGGAGATCATGCTGATAGCTGTGGTGTCGCCTGTCATCCGCTGTGAGTGGCAACTGGAGAACTGGCAGGTGGCCTTGGTGACCACGGTGAGTGAGATTCCTGGGCTGTGAGGGCCCAGCTGGTGGGGGAGGAGATGGTAGTACTCCCCTGCTCCTCCTTCCAGGGTCCCTCCTCTCCTGCTCCCCTTCCACCCCTCCTGCCTCCTCTCCTCCTCTCCGCCCAGTGAGAGCAAACAGGGATGTGGTCCCCTAACTCACAGGTTCTGTTGTTTCTGGGAGCTCTTAGAGACCTGGAGGTGATGAGACTGGAGGGCTGGACGCCAGCTGGGAAGTGGTGACAGAACGTGCCTCTGGGAATCTTCACCTAAAAGACTAAAGTCCCAGACTCAACCTATAGGTTTCAACTGGCTCCCATCCATGGTCAAGGACAATGGTTAAGGAAAATCAAAGATGAGTCAAGGGCAATGGTTAAGGAAAATCAAAGATGAGTCAGTGCATTTGCATTATGGTGTTGAAGTATACGGACTGTACTTCATGGGCTACCAGGGAGCTCTCATGGCCTAGTGGTAAGAAGCTGTTCTATAATCTCAAAGGCATGAAGTTCAAATCTACCAGTTGCTTTGAAGGAGAAAGATAGACAATCACCTCCTGGACAATTAACTGTCTCCTAAAACCTGCCAGAGGGCCAGCTATGGGTCGGTTCCGACTCGATAGTACACAACAATAGCAAAGGCTACCAGATGCACAAACTGGTCCTGTAAAAAATACAACCACACTGCTCCTTAGTAGTGCAGATGGGAGGCTTGGAGCCCAGTGTGTTTTTACCTGTTGAGGTGCTGACTGAAATGTTAGCAGTTCAAATCCATCAGGTGCTGCATGAGAGAAAGACAAGGCACTGCCTTGGTCGTGGTTTACAGCTTCGGAAGCCCGAGGGAGGGCCACACGGGAGGGAGGGCCCACATAAGGAAGGGCCACACATCCGAACTGACTTGAAGGCAGTGAGCTCCCTGTTGGTGAGACTTGCGAGGAAAGGAAGAGGAAACAAAGTGGATGGTGAGAAAGGAAGAGCTTTTTTGTTGGAAGAGCACAAGCAAGCATTTTTCCATGAATCTCCTGGAATCATCAGGAACTCGCCGGAACTGTGTGAAGGCAGAAACAGCTGTGGGTGAAGACATTGGGTTACAGCTCACTGCTGCTGCCCAGCGGGTCCCGGAAGGTGACAGGACATTGGAAAAACAGTAATTATAAACAGGTGGTGAACCCACTGTTGTTTAAGTTGTTTCAACCCCGGTGTTAACAGAGAACTGCTTCTTAGGGTCTTGGCTATGCACAAAAGCCAAAGGCAGACACAAATTACCAGGGCTTGATGGGGTACAACTGTGTGATTCAAACCACCAATTTTTAGGTCAATAGTCAAGTGCAAACCACTGTGCTAGCTGGGGCCCTGGCGTTCTAATTGGACCTTGAATTTTATCAGGATGGACACTCTATTGTAAAAACAAGAAAGCAGAATGGAGAACAATGTGCACGGACCGTGTTATACCAGTTGACCTTGACATCTCGTCCACTCCACAGTGGTCTTGAGCTCCCAGGTCCACTGACTCTTTCTTCATGGTGTTTGGTTATGGCTAGCATGGTGCCGTATCTTGGCCTTCTGCCCTACTATGCACTGGGCGCTATTTACAGGGGAGCTCTGGGGCCTAGCCTGTTGGGAGTTGTGTTGAGAACTCAAAGCTGGTGCTTCTCCATCAGTCTGAATGGACCAGTGACTCCTCAGGAGAAAGAGGACTGTCTTTTCCTGTGATTTACAACCTTGGAAACATCTCTGGAGGGTCAGCTGTGAGTCGAGTCCAACCTGACAGTAATGAGCTGTGAGATTTCTCGTCGATCTAGACAGGCGCATGGAAGTAGTGTCTACAAGACCTACGTGACCGTGAACATCTTCTCATCCACCCACCCAAACCTGTTCCTCTTACCTGTCAATCTTGCAGGTCGGTGGGTAGTCTTGATAATGATGCTAGAATGTGTAAATAATAGTATTTACCTTGCTGGGGGCCATCTAAGGTGGAACTCTTGTTTTATCCTTGACTGAGACGAAGGAGAGTGAAAGAAATCAAAGATGATTAGTCCAGAGTGAATAAAATTGAAGGCTATTAGTCTAAAGGACCAAAGGATTACGTGAATTTCAGTTGTCATGACTTGGAGACCAGGAGCACTGGATGGTGACCAGCTACCACGCTCTAAACGGGGCTACACTTGAAGGTTCCTGATAGAGCGGGATAAAAAAGTGGACCAAAATTCAAAACCATAGAAAATAGATCAGGTTTGCTGGTCTGGTAGATACTGGTGTTACCCCCAGAAACTATAATCCTTCGAACCCCTTGATCCTGGAACTGAAATAACCCCTGTGACTCAGCTTCCAACCGTATGATGAACTAGATGGACTCGCCTATAAGGATTGTAGAGACAGCAACCACGGCCGTAAGGCGGGGAACTGTGAGGATCATGCAGGCTGGAGCAAAGCTTCCGTCTGCTGTCCATGGCCTGCCTGTGAGTTGGAGTCCACTCATCAAGTAAGTTAGTCAACAACACCAAGAGACATAGACTCCTTAGAATAATCAATGTTACAAGGTCAAAAGGGTTGTACTTGACCAGGGATAAGTCCAGAGAGTAGGAGAGGATAGAGAAGAAGGATGGATGGAAATGAGAATCACAGGGAAGGAGCAGGAAGTATGCTGTTACAGTGTGGGGCATGTAATCAAGGTCCTGCAACAAAATATGTATAGACTGTTGAATGGAATATGGGGGCTGTAATCAACGCCCTCAAACAGTACGTACATAGACTGTCAAATGGAAAGCCAATTTGCTCTGTAAACTTTCCCTCAAGTCACAATTAAAAGGTAAGAAGTATAAGTGGGCTCGTTACAGGGTTTACATGGAAAAGGATGGATGAAAATAAGAAACCCTCAGAGGAAGTGGGATATTTGCTGTTTGCAGAGTTCTCATGCGTGATTCAACTTGGTTGAAGTTTCTATTTATATGTAACAATATGAAGGGAGATGGCTTCAGTGGCCTCAATTGTGTCGGTAATGAATTTTTGCTTTTAAAGCAAAATGGAAATTCACAATTATCCATGTGAGTGGAGAGAGCAAAGCCATCCTTCTGAGTCTGAGGGAGGAGTTCCCTGCTCTCAGACGCCTGTGGACACCTGGAGGCAGCAGCACAGAGGTGTGGCAATAGCAAGAAGCCTCTTAATCCTCAGCTCTGACATCCCGAAGGTTTTAACAGAAGCCAGAGGAAAGGGGTCCAGAGGCCCCCAGTCTTTAACTCCCGCTCTTCATACATTGCCAGTGTACATGTGGGTAAGAGGAATGAACGCTCTTTGTAAATGGACTTGTTAGGAATGCTTTGCTTAGAGAATAATATCCGCCCCCTCCTCTCCCCTAGATGGTGTTTTTTGGCTACATGGTGTTCAGCATCCTCTTTGGGCTCCTGGCGGACAGGTACGGTCGCTGGAAGGTAGGTCTCGACTAGGATCTTTTGTAGTAAAATCATTGTTTCTGCTGAGACACTTCCGCATGCTATCTGAGTGGACAGTATGTGTGTCTGTGTGTGTGAGAATGCCCTCCGATGTGGCCTTCTGCATTCTAGGTTTGTCTTCTTGCTGTCTCGTTCCTTCCCGAGGTCCTTGTCCCCTCACCTGAACCCAGCAGTCTAGTTGTGCAGGGTGAGGCACATGCACAGATGTGAAATTAGAGCATGGTGTCATGGACTAGTAACCAGGAGTCGACTTGAAGTAGAAGTGGAGTTAGTCTGCACGCACACTCACAGAGTGGAGACTTTGGCTTCTTCGTAGAATGAGGAAGAAGGCATTTACGTGCTATCAGCGCGAGAACTAAAGGTTACAGAATCCTAGTTGTCTGAATGCCCGCTGAGAAGGTCAAACAAGGGGCATCTCAGCACTGGGACTTAGCGGGGGGGAGGGGACACCATTGACTGGGATTTTGTGATTGTTGTTGTATACCCTTCAGTGGGAACCAACTCGTAGTTGACCCTCCGGTGGGTTTTTCAGAGACAGTAAGTCACACGGCAGGATATTGCCTTTCTTTTTACTGCAGGGCACCTGGTGGATTTGAACCTTTGGACTGGTATCACAACTCGTTACTACTAAGCCACCATAGCTCCTTTTGTGATTGGTTAAGGATTCTGTGCGTAGAGTGGTGAGAATGAGTGTGTATGAGACGGTGAGATTGGCACAGGATAGAGCGGCATTTAGGGCTGTTGTACACAGGGTCGCTATGAGTCGCAAGCAACTCGATGGCACATAACAATCACAACAACAAGGATATGTAAGAGTACTTGCTTTGGGGTTTGTCACAGGATAGTGCCAAGAGATGAGGGATGAGGGCTGCGGGGGTAACCTATTAAATTGCTTTCTCAATCAGTTCTGTTTCTAGCGGCCCATTATAAAGATTTCTCAATAATTCTGCACACTTATAATGACCCTTCGGGTAAAACTTATCACGTCTTCCATAGTGGAAACGCCTTCTGGGGATGGGCTGTGAGATACCCCCTCACCTGCCCGACCTCAGAACAAAGGAATGCTCCTGTAAAGCACTGCATCACGTGACAGGAAACACTGGTAGGAAGGCTGCGTCATGGTCCAACGTGGAGTCCAGAGTCTGCAAGACTTCAGCCTGGAGCCCAGGCTCCGTTTTCAGACTGCTCTGCTGACACACTCCCAGTGCTTCTGTGACAACAGCAATTTGCTAGGGCACAAATGGTTACCTGCTCAACAGACAGTCCAGGGGTGGGCAGTTCAGACCCACCCAGAGGAGCCTTGGAGGACAGGCCTGGCCAACTGCTTCTAAATACTCCACACACACAGGTCACTCTGAGTCAAAACAGATGAGGCAGAAGTTCACTACTCCACCCATAAGCAACTGCGGGTCCATTAACTTTGTTAAAGTTTTAAGCTACGGTTTTTTTTTTGTTTTTTTTTGTTTTTTTTTTTAAGCTACGGTTTTGAACTCACACAACTACTCACATTAGATATCAAAGCATATGTTGTTGTTGTTATGTGCCATCTAGTCGCTTGCGACTCATAGCGACCCTATGTACAACAGCCCTAAACTCTGCTCTGTCCTGTGCCAATCGCACTGTCTCTGACACTCCCATCCCGATTACCCGAGTCACTGAATCAATCCACCTCATAGAGGGCCTTCCCCTCCTGCTCCGTCCCTCCATCCTCCCAAGCATGATGTCCCTCTCCAAGGACCGGTCTCTCCTCACAACATGTCCAAAGTATGTTAGACGGAACCTCAGAATCCTTGCTTCCAAGGAGCCACCCGGTTTAACCCTCTCCAGGACAAATCTGTTTGTTTTCCTAGCAGTCCATGGTATTCTCAATACTCTTCTCCAGCACCACATCTCAAAGGCATCAATTCTCCTTCTATCCTCCTTGGTCATTGTCCAACTCTCTGATGCATAACAAGTGATTGTGAAGACCATGGCCTGTATCAAATGCACCTTAGTCTCCAGAGAGACACCATTGCTCTTCAGTACTTTAGAGAGGTCCCTAACAGCAGACTTTCCCATGGCAATGCGCCTTTTAATTTCCTGGCTGCTGGTGCCAAGACTGTTGACTGTGGAGCCAAGCAAACTAAAGCTGTATACAATCTCAATCTCTTCACCATCCATCCTGATGCTGCCAATTGGTCCAATGGTGAGAATCTTTGTCTTCCTGACATTGAGCCTCAATCCATATTGTAGACTGCAGTCCTTGACCCTCTGCAGCCAATTATTCATATAGGGAGTTCTGGTGGCCTAGTGGTAAGAAACTGCGCTGCAATCCCCAAGGCATACAGTTCAAATCCACCAGCTCTTCTTCGGGAGAAAAATGGGCAATCTCCTCCCATGAGATTAACTGCCTCTGAAAACCCGCTGGTGGGTCAGCTCTGGGTTGGTTCTGACTTGATGGGACACAACAGCAGCTACAACATCACACACACACACACACACACACACACACACACACACACACACGCAATGATGTGTGTGCATATAGATATTATGTCAAGGAAGTGGCTCACCTGATTGCATCTAGCAGTCCCTGGCCTGTGGGTCAGACCTCAAGAGAGAGGTGCCTGGGCAGACAGGGTTGCTGGCTTCAGGGGCTCATCAGTCTGTTCAAGGGGGGACAGCAGGGAGCAGAGCCACAGGCAGCTGGCTTAAGGGTCAGATAAATCCAAAGTCTGCAAGTACAGCTTAAGCGTGGAGGTCATAAGCCAGATAGCCCGGTGAAGGACTGGGGGGTGGGGATCTCTCAGGCTTTGTCCAAGATTCCAAACATACATTCAGTGCCAGCCACGCCCCTGAGACTTACCCTTTGTGCAATCATACTGAGCCCGAGATTTGGGTTTGCAGTTCACAGGATGCTTACATCACACTGAGAATCAAGGCTGTGCTGCCACCTCCATGAACATCACAGTCTCCTAACGAGACAGAGGCGGCAAATGAAAACATTACTAGAAATGCCTTGATCTTTAAAGTGCTTAAAACGACTGCCATGAATGCTTCCAAATTAATACGAAAACACAAATATTTCCCAGAAAAACAAGCCAAAACCATAACTGGGGATTTTATAACAGAAACAACACAAATAGTTAAGAGGCCTTGGAAAATGACCAAAGTGACACAGCGAACTAGCTTCTTCCTTATGATATGCATTTTGAATATCAAGCCCACGAGGGGTGGTTTTCTCCGCCTAAAGGCTCAGGCCCCAAGGGGCTGGGCACTTCTGTGAACTCATATACTATCACTGGGGTGTCTCTGATCATCGAGTTGGCCATGCAATAAAAGCCCAAATCATGCGGCCACAGAGACAGTTCCAACTTGCGACAGCTCTCATGTGGATCAGAGCTAAAGCTCAGGTCGGATACTTTTTGTTTTGTGTTCAGTTATGTTACTTGATCTCTAAAACTGTGATTTGAATAAAAGTTTACAAAGCAGATTGATTTTCCATTTAACCATTCATACACATTCTGGTTTATGACTTTCATTATAGCACTCACGACTTAGGCCTTTTTCTCACTTCCTTCTTGCAGTTCTGATTTCCAGGACTCCTTTTATCCCTTCTTTCTTGCTTTCTGGGCTTTATCTCCGGGAAAACGCACCATTTCCCCTTATGTGGCTACTTATTCTAAGGAGGGAGTGTAATTGACCACCGTATAGACTGTTTATGGTTGGTCTGAAAGTTGAGCAGGGTGTGTGTGTGTGTGTGTGTGTGTGTGTGAATTTTGCTCCAGGTCCAAAGCGTGGCCAAGGCTCATAGTCTCAGGGGACCTACCAGCCTCTATCAGAATCATACATCTGGCCATTTTTCTGATTTTGAGTTCTGTTCCACATTTTCCTCCATTATCCAGGACCTTCTGGCCTTTCAGAGTGGTCAGTGGTGGCAGCTGGGCACCATCTAATTCTTCTGGCTTCGGGTCATGGACGTTCACACACGGTTTTCAGTTACTGATGTTTTAGAAGTAGATTACCAGACAGTTCTGTGATATCACTGTGGATTTGAACCTACAACCTTTCAGTGAATAATCATGGGCAAGCCACCCGTGATGTCCAGAGACTGCATGAATCAAGAGCCTTGAAAAGATCCCTTCTCCTAACTGAACTTTGCTGTCTAGAAATCTAGTTTAATAGGCTCATCAGAGTGGCCACAAGTTCATGTGCTGAGATGTTCACTGTGACCAGTAGCCAGAGGACTGCCCGAGCTGATCTCCTAAACTGTCTGCATGGGAATAGACTGTAGACCCTTCCTCCTGCAGACCCGAGGGTGGGCTTGAACCTCTGACCTTTCTGGTAGCAGCCACTGTGCTACAGTTTATTCTAAAAGTGACAGAAAAAGAAACCTCTGAGTTCTGCAATAGGGGAATGGTCCAACACATCACAGTACATCTTTGCTTGGAAATATTTTGCAACTGTTAAAAAGATGCTTTTCTTCCGCAATCCCAGAGGTACGAGGTTCAAATCCACCAGATGCTCTGCTGGAGAAGGAGTGGCAACCTCCTCCTGTACCAGTCATATTTGATTTGATGGTACACACACACACACACACACACAAATAAGAAATAAAAAAATTTTTTTAAAAAAACAATGCTTGCAAACACAAAAAAAGAATAAAATGGTGTCAACAGTTTCTTTCGGGTTATCAGATTGAAGAAAGGCACCGTGGTAATGCAGTGGTTAATTTCTTGCCTGCTAACCAAAAGGTTGGTTGTTCAAACCCACCAGCTGCTCCTCAGAAGAAAAATGTGGCAGCTAGCTTCCATAAAGTCTTGCAGCCTTGGAACCCAATGGGTAGCTCTGCTCTGGCCTCCAGGGTCAGGAGTTGGAATCCACTCAACAGTAATGACTTCTATGACAGAGGGTGATTTCTGTTTTCCTCTTTATACTTTCTGGATATTTTAAAAATTTGTTAATGTGAATTTGTGTTATTTTTGTTACATTTAGAAGTGGAAAGCAGGTATGTTAGAGGACCTCTTTATATTCATCCCAACACAGTACTTGGAGAATTCCCAACATCTTAGAATGGGGCAGGAGAGGCTTGGTGTGCTCCCAACAGCCACTCCATAGACACAGATATTAGCAGCCTGCGAAACCCAGTGGGGGGGTCACCTGGAGTTGGGATCTGCTCTCCAGCGGCGGGTTGTGTATGTGGGGTTTTGTACGCGCACAGTAGGTGCCGTGCAGACACCTTCCACCGTTAGGCCGCCCTGTCTCCACGCTGTCACAGGTCCATTACTAAGTCCTCTTCCCTCCCTGCAGATTCTGTTCATCTCGTTCCTGTGGGGCGCCTACTTCTCCTTGCTCACCTCCTTCTCGCCCTCCTACATCTGGTTCGTCTTCCTGCGGACGATGGTGGGCTGTGGAGTGTCTGGTCACTCGCAAGGGTAAGGAGTCCTCTTCTGACCCCGGGAGAGAGATGTGTATACACTCAAACGTCCACATCCACAGGGCTTCTGGGACCATCGAGTCGGTCCTAACTCATAATGACCCCGTGGACGAGTGGACGGAACCCCACGTGGGCCCACGCCACCCTCGCACTCTCTGTTCTACCGTGAGCCCGTTGTTGCTGTCACTGTGTCCGCCACCTCCTTGAGGGCCTTCCTCTTCTCAGTGACCCTCTGCTTGTCCAGGCCCGATGCCCTCCTCCAAGGACAGGCTCCTCTTGATAACTTATCTGAAATATGTGAGATGAAGTCTCAACATCCTCGCCTAGAAGGAGCATTCCAGGTGTGTTTCCTCCAGGACAGGCTTGTCCGTTTTTTCTGGAAGTTCCTGGTCTATTCTGGGAGCTGCAAATCCCACAGTGCTGGCTGCTCGTCCGACGAGGAGTGGTTTGCTTGGCATATGGAGACGTGATTGATACTAATTGCTGTTCTGTCTTTTCAAATATGATTTTATCGTGTTTTCAGTGATAGTTCACACAGCAAACATGGCTCTCATTTTAAGTTTTCTGTACAGATTCTCAGTGACACTGGTGCTTCCCCACCCCCTCCACCCCCACCCCATAGTCTCTCCCGTTATTTCCGTTAGCTTGTTCTGTCTCCAGCGCTCTCATTTCCCTTCTTCCTAACCTTCCTTCCTGGTTTTCGAGCGACTCTTGACCGTTTGGTCTCATAAAGGTGATTTTTCAGCTGGAGTTTCCTAGATAAATGACTGTGAATAAATAACTTTATGTTTATTTTTTTAAAAAGATTATTTTTCAAAGGAGCACAGTGTTGAAGTGACATGTTCTATTTTATGAGCCAGTCTAAATGTTGTGAGTGATAAGATAATTTCCATACGCATACAACGAAGACCAGTTAACATGACTATTATTCAAATATATGCTCCTACATCCAGAGTCAAAGAGAAAGAAATTGAGAATTTTTACCAAATTTTGCAGCCTGAAATTGACCAAACATGCAATCAGGATGCGTTAATGATAATCGCTGACTGGAATGCAAAAGTAGGAAACAGTGAAGAAGAAACAGCAGCTGGAAAATATGGGCTTGGTGATAGAAATGAAGCTGGAAATAGAATGATTGAATTTTGTATTTACAATGATTTATTCATTGCAAATACTTTTCTTTTTTAGTTTTGTGTTTTATTTATTTAGGAAGTTGAGGCCTTGAGTGCGTATTTCCACAGTGGGTACAGGCACTCTTTTCGCTGCTGCTTCTTGGTCTTCAGGTTCTCCTCATGCTTGATGAGCCTTCGGCACATGGCACGTGTTTTCTTGGGCCACAGATCCAGCGGTTTGTACTTCTTGCCCTTATAGTATTTTCTGAGGTTCTCCTTCTGAGTCTGGTTAATAACAGTGAGAACATGGGCAATGGATTTTCAGACAACTCGGATTTTGGAGAGCTTAGAAGCCGCACCGCCTGTCACTTTGGCGACGCGCAGCTGGGAAAGCTCCACCTTCAGATCATCCAGCTGTTTCAACTGCTCCTCCTTCTTGTTGCGAGGTTCCGAGCCTTGATTTTGGCCATGGCTGAGCGATAGAACCTGGCTGCTGCCTGATCCAAGCCCAAGAGAAGGAGTGCAAATACTTTTTGTAAAAGACACAAAAGATGACTTTACACCTGGATTTCACCTGATGGGCTGCCTCGGACTGACTACATTTGTGGAAGAAATCATTGGAGAAAATCAACATCAGCAGTCAAAACTAAGCCAGGGGAAAAGTGTGAGTCAGATCATCAATTACTCATATGCAAGTTCAAAATTTAGGCAAAGAAAAATAAAAGAATTCAGCAGGATCCAAGATACATACTCTCTTGAATCAATTCCATCTGAATTTTATGATCATCTTAAGAGTATATTTGAGGCATTGAACACCAATGATAGAAGACCAGATGAGTTGTGGGATGGTATCAAGGATATCATCCATGAAGAAAGAAAAAAAAAGTCATTACAAAAACAGAGGGGGAAAAAAATTGAAATCGATGTCAGAGGAAACTCTGAAGATTGCACTGCAGTGTTGAGAAGCCAAATCTAAAGGAAAACATGTTGAATTGAAAGAGCTGGACAGACTATTTCAGAAAGCAGCTCGGGAGGACAAATCAAAGTATTATAAAGGAATGTGCAGAGAGCTGGAATTGGACAATAAAAAGGGAAGAACTCCCTCTGCATTTCTCAAGCTGAAAGATTGAAAAATTAATTTATGCCTCACGTTGCAATATTGATTGATGCTGTGGGCAATATATCGAATGACCCAGAAAGTGTCAAAAGAAGATGGAGGGAATACATAGAGTCACTGTACCAGAAAGAATTGATTGACACTGAAAAATTTTAGGAAGTACCATAACAGGAGCCAATGGTAATGAAAGAGGAAGCGGAAGCTGCTTTGAAGGCATTGGCAAAGAACAAGGCCCCTGGAATTGATGGGATGCCAATTGACTTGTTTCAATTAACAGTTACAGCCGTGGATATACTCACCAGTTTTGCCAGGAAATTTGGAGGACAGATGTCTGGCCAATGGATTAGAAGAGGTCCATATTTGTTCCCATTCCCAGGAAAGGTGATCTAATTACATGTGGAAATTATCAGACAATATCATGCAAGCAAAATACTGCTGACGATTATTAAAAAATGGCTAGAACTGTATACAGATAGGGAAATGCCAGAAGTTCAAGCAGGATTTAGAAGAGGCCATGGCACCAGGGGTATCATTGCTGATGTCAGATGGATCCTGGCTGAAAGTAAGGAACACCAGAATAATGTCTATTTGTGCTTTATTGATGATGCAAAGGCATTTATTTGACTGTGTGGACCATGACAAATTATGGCTGACAGTGAGAAGAATGGGAATGAATCCCAGAGACTTGATTGTGCTCATACAGAGCTTATACCTGAATCAGGAGGCTGTTGTGTGCATGGATCAGGTGAGCACTGCATGGTTTAGAATTGGGAAGGGAGTGAGGCAGGGATGTATTCTGTCTCCATACCTGTTTAATCTATATGCTGAGCAAATTATCCAAGAAGCTGGACTCTGAAGAGGAGTGTGGTGTTAGGATTGGAGGGAGACTCATCAATAACCTGCGTTATGCAGATGATACCACCTTACTTGCTGGAAGTGAAGACGACTTGAAGCATTTGTTGCAGAGGATCAAGGAAAGCAGCCTTCAGTATGGATTGCGTCTTACTATAAAGAAAACAAAGTTTCTTACCACTGGACCAATAGGCAGCATTATTTTGCAGGGAGAGGAGATTAAAACTGTCAACAGCTTCATCTTGCTTGGATCCATGATTAACACCCTTGGTATGAGCAGTCAGGAAATGAGATGCACTGCACTGGGGAAATCTGCAGTTAGGGACCTTTCCAAATTATTGAGATGTAGTGCTGTCAGTTTGAGGACTAAGTGTGTCCGATTCAGGCCAAGTTTTTCCAATTACTAGCTATGTATCTGAGACTTAGACAATGAAAAAGGATGATGAAAAAGAATTTATGCCTTTGAGCTGTGGTGTTGGAGAAGAACACTGAACATCCCATGGACAGCTAAGAAAACATATAGGTATGTCTTGGAGAGGGTCCAGCCAGAGTGCCCTTTGGAGGTAAGAATGATGAGGCTTTGCCTCACATACTTTAGACGTTGCTAGGAAGTGCTATTCCTTGGAGAAGGACATGATTCTGGGAAGGGTGGGTGGTCGGCAAAGGAGAGGAAGACCCTCAACCAGGTGGACTGACACAGTGACTGCTGTAATGGGCTCTTGTGTGTCAGGAAGTGTGAGGATGGCGCAGGACAGAACAGGGTTCAGATCTTTTGTTCACAGGGTCATTATGAGTTGTACTCAACTCAATGGCACCTAACAACAACAATTCTTCACATAAAAAGAAAAAAAAAAGATAATTAGGTGACTATTTTGTTAGGCTAAATTCCAACAAAAAGTACTGCATCAAGTGTGCAATAAAAACACCAGCTTCTCATTTTTGAGAATTGGTTGGAAGAGTACAGGCCCACCTTGCTTTGCTGAGCTTCACAGACTGTGGGTTTTAACAGCTTGAAGTTTTGGGTAGCCCCGTGGAGGTAAGTCCATCAGCGCCATTCTCCCAACAGCCTGGCCCACTTCATGTCTCTGTGCCACTTCTTGGCACTTGCCACATTATATCAGACTGGCACACTGCATAGACTACAGTCTGATGTCAACACGACTTTTCTGTGCGCTGGGAATCTGGAACATTCACATGACTCATCACATTCACCTTGTGGTGGTCTGGAAGGAAGCAGCCGCAGGATCTCTGAGCTCGTCTCTGTAGCTTTGACCATGAGCACTTACAACACTGAGGAACAGCCATCCCAACCCCCTTCCTGCTTTTGGGGAGCTCTGGCGTAGTCTGTAGGGAGCTGCACTGCGAATCCGGAGGCTCCATCTCACTGGCAGTTCAAATCCACCAGATGCACATTGGGAGAGAGACATGACCTTTCTGCCTCTGAGATCTGCAGCCTCTGAAACTGACAGAGCGTCAGCTACTGTTTCCACTCAGTGCTGATGAGTTTTGAGGTTTGTTTTCTGGTTTGTTTTTTTTTTTTTGGTCTTGCCTCTTAGATGTCGGTGAGTAGATTTGCAGAGTGAGGCCGTGAAGATGCAGATGTGGTGTCCAGCTCCTGACTGTGCCCTGGAGGTGGGAGATTCAGTGTATTCTGCTGTAACCTGGACCCTCCCTAGTGTCTCTCCAGTGAGCCCTTCAGCCTGCTCTCTTGGGTGCTTGGATGCAAGTTGTCCATAGAAAAAACAAGAGAGTCAGGACCCCTAATTACTACCTTACTATGTCGGGGGAGAACTCAGTTCCCCAGAGGCACAAATTAAGCAGCACTGAAATCATGGTGCCAGAGGAAGCAGAAGTTAAGCAGATTTTTCAAGTATCCCCCGGGGAACAACCCAGTGACTGTGTTAAAGAGCCTGGTCCCTGTCCAGTAAGAGCCACAGAGAAAGGCAATTAGCAAACTGATGGGTATGATTCCCTTTATTCTTCTCTGCACAAAATAACAGACACTTACTTGGAAAGCAGCCTTGACTGACATTCAAGGGGACAAATCACCTTCTCAACAGTGGGTGCTGATTTTGTAAGTAGGTTTTAGGAAAGAGAACTGGACCTGACAAGTATTTCCACAGGCCGCTATCTCTTTATGTGGTAACCACTGCCCTCCGTGGATTCTGGCCATAACAAGCCTGCTTTGAGTTTCTGAGGCTGGAAGTCTTAATGGGAAGAGAGTGCTTGTCTTTCTGGTGGATTTGAACCATTGACCTTTTCATTAGCAGTTGGATCCAATGATGCACTGCACAAGTGCTTTAGAATAAAGGCTCTGATTGCGATGCCCAGCACAAGAAATACCTGCTGGCCTGCTGCTTTGAGCTGACCAAAAGTTCAGATTGCCATTTCAAAAAGTCAAACTGCAGACTTCGGGGGGAAATCTCTATGTTAGTTTCCTTAAAGCATCTCTTATCCAGGCTCTTGGAAAGCTTTATTATTTATATATAGTTTTGGCATGTGAAATGGAAGCGCTTCACCTTAGAATAAAAGAATACACAAACGAGGGCCTGTGTGATTTAGATCACAGCTTCACACCCACCTGGGCTAGGGAAATCAATTCTCTTCCCTCTCTTACCCACCTGTAGAGTTAACAAGAGAATACTCCTAGACATGACACCTTTTATTTTATCTGCTTCCGTCTTTGAACATTCAACATCTTGGTATGACCAGCTCGCCGCCCTTATCAAAGAAAACATGTGAGCAACATGTGTGTACCCTCCTTTTAGACAGTAATGGAAAAAGAAACTCTAAACTTTCATCTGATTTTTGTAAATTGCAAAGATGTTGTAACCATTTGGGTCTTGGGAGAAACTGCTGTTTGCAGCCTCTGTTTCCATGCCTTTACTTTTTACACAATGTGTCAAATAAAGCTGCTTTCTTGACTTCTTGGAACTTCAGCAGTTACGGTCTTCCCTGCAACATTGTCAAGACTATCATGGTGATAAAGCCCCTTCCTCATTGCCATCAAGTTAGAACTGACCCATAGCTGACCCACCAGAGGGTTCTCAGAAGTTGTAAATCAGAAGGAGATTGGTCCTGACATCTTCTCTTCAGGGCGTCTGTGGATTCTAACTCCCTGCCCTGGCACTGGCAGCTCTGCCCTCTACCCACTAAGCCTCCAGAATTTATCACAGTTGTTGTTATTGTTAGGGGTCATCGGATCTATGACTCTGTTGTTGTTGTTGTTGCTACGTGCCATGGGGTCAAGTAGGACTCCCAGTAACCTCTGAAGAACGGATTTGAACCTTGCCCTGCCCGACGCCATCCTCGCAGTCCCTGTCATGCTCCAGCCACTGTGGTGGTCACTGCACCTGTCCATCTCACTGACCGTCTTCCTCCCTTTTGACGACCTGTCCCAGCACGATGTCTCTCGCCAAGGACCGGTTTCTCCTGAAAACATGCCCAAAGTAACTGGGACCAAGTTTCACTCTCCTCGCCTCTGCGGAAGGAGTACGCTGGGACTTCTCTCAAGACAACAGCGTTCTTCTCCAGCATCACGACTCAAAGGCATCAATACTCCGGTCTGTCTTATTCATTGTCCAACTTTCGGGAACATGGACAATTTTAAACACCTCCGCTTGGATCGGGCACACTCTCATCTTTAAACTGACATCTCTGCTCTTGAACACTTTGGAGAGGTCTTTGACGGCGGGTTCCCCATGCAGCGCATCTTTGATTTCCTGACTGCGGCTATGATTTATCGTGGGGTCGTTGTTCTAACTTTGTTCCTCCTCAGTCTGTGAAAGAATTAAATCAGGAGGGAGAGATTTAAGGGGGTGACATCCAAACTGCAGAAGTAGCACAACGTGCAGCTATTTTAGTGAGCCTTCAAAGAGGTGTTTGCAGGTACAGCAAGTGTGGAGGCCCCAAAAGCAGCTGTTGTTTGTCTTGCTGGAAACAGACCAGGTGTGGGCTGAGGCTTTGTTAGCACATGCTCAACGGGACATTCGACTTGCTGGGCTGAAAATGAAAGCAAAGGCAATTTATTAGCAAAGAAACGTTTCAGAGACAGAACCAGCCGCTCTGTTGGAAGGGAGAAGAGAGGACATGATGATAATTATGTTCCTGGGAGGAACTGGTTCTGGTGGAGACCAGTAGACAACAGAGAAGCCGTGATGCCACGAAGGCTTCGGGTCGACAGGGCTGGCTCTCTTCTGGAATCTGAGCCAACGGGATCCTGTGCGACGCTCCACGTTTGGAGAACAGTTCTTACTTAGGTCCTTGTTTTCGATGCTACTGGATGTCTGACATGACTGAAATGTTAAATGCGTTGCTTCAGGGCGAGGCTTTCCTACTCATGTCAGGACCGTGAGGTGCGCAGGCCAGTTCCCTGGTTTTGACGTCTAGCTTTTAGCTCCTGTGCTTGATTCTTGTCCTCCACGAACTCTCATGAATTTCGTCTGGTTTTACCAACCTTGCTTGACCTTTGCCTTTAACATGAGTTTCTTTCTTCCTTCTCTTGTTTAATCCACTCTAACATTCTTCCCTCCCTAATGTTGCCTCATTTCACTGATTCTGACCCAAACACCACCATGGACGTTGATGGTAGATTCAAGTTAAAATGAAAGAGTTGACAACTTCAACGTTTTCTCCCTCTATCAGGTTGTTGCCTATTGGTCCAGTGGTGAAGATTTTTATTTTCTTGATGTTGAGATGTAATCCATATTTGATCTTCTGTAGCAAGTGCTTCAAAGTGCTTCAAATCTTCATTTTCTTCTGTCATCTGGATAGCACAGGTTGTTAATAAGTCTTCTTCCAATCCTGATACCACTTTCTTCTCCAGAAATGATTTTTTCCCCAACATACAGATTGAATAGTCATAGAGAAAGGATTCAACCCTAACACACATCTTTCCTGATTCTAAACCAAGCAGTCAGTGTTCCCTAGTTCTTTTTGGAAAACCACCTCCTGGTTATGTGCGAGTAAAATCTTGCTGAAGATTATTGAAAGATAATGAGCAGGACATCAATAGGGAACCGCAAGAAAGTCAAGCCGGATTCAGAAGAAGCTGTGGAATAAGGGATATCCATCATGATGTCAGATGGATCTTGGCTAAATGCAGAGAATTCCAGGAAGATGCTTACTTGGTTTTTATTGATTATGCAAAGCAATTTGTCCACATGGAACATAACAAATTATGGCTAGCATCGAGAAGAATGGAAATCAGGTTCGTTTAATGGTACTCATATGAAACCTATACACAGGACAAGAAGCAGTTGCGTGAACATAACAAGAGACAGAATAGGGGTTTTATTGTAGTTGTTGTGTACAGCTGAGCTGGAACCAACCCAGAGCGGACCCTCTAGCAGGACGTTCATGACACGGGAGGAGATTGCTTGTCCTTCTCTCGAGGAGCACCTGGTGGATTTGAACCTTGCGCCTTTGGGATTGCAGCAGGTGTTGTGTTTGTTTGTTTTTCTCATCTGTGGATATTAACTATAATAATACATAATATAATGATGTTGTTTTTGTTGTTGATTGCTGTCGAGTCGAACACGGATCATAGCGACTCTATGAACAAAAGACCTAATGCCTTTCCATAACTATCATCATTTCTCCAAGTTCATAGAGTTTCCAGAGGCATGTGGTTTAAGAAGTGGATGCCACTCCTGCTTCCAAACCTGTTTTACATCTGGGAGCTCCACCAAGCACTGTCCACATTGGGAAACCATTCTGGTATCTGATACCCCAATGGTACAAGGTTCAGCATCACAGCAACCCAGGTTACTTCATACTGCACATTAACAGAGAGTGATGTACAAAGTGGAAGAGTGTTCATCCAGATATAACAACACTAGTCTCATTTAGCAGTGGTTAAGTGTCGTCAAGTCAAATATGACTCAGGGTAAGTTTTGCACAAAAGACCTGAACTCTGTTCTGTAACTAACATCATTTCTGTACATTTATAGAATTTAGAGAGTTCGTAGAGTTTCCAGAGGCATCTAGTTTAGGGGGGAAAATAAGACTTTTATTTAGTTTTCATTGTTGTAAAAATATGCACAAAGTCCACATTTGGACTCAGTGACTTGGGCTACATTTTCCATGTTGTGCCACCTTTATCCTTATATTTTTCCAAAATATCCCACTACTGGGAACATCGACTCAATGTCCACAATGTCTCCTTTCCTCTCCCTCCAGCCCTGGTAACCATGCCTAATCTTTGGGGTCTATGTATTTGCCTTGAACTTGGACATTTTTGAATTCTTTATCCCTGGGACAAGAAAATGGTTGACTGTTCAAAGCATATAGTTTGTTTGATAAAAACAAAACTCTCATTTCACCTCTCTTCCTGTTTAGGCTAATCATCAAGACTGAGTTTTTGCCGACAAAATACCGAGGCTACATGCTGCCTTTGTCGCAGGTGTGTGTGACGGGGATGCTGCCTGGACTGTCCTGGGGTGAAGCAAGTGCTCCTTGAGAGTCAAGTGGAGAGGTGTCCTGAGAACCCAGTGACCGTCTGGATGGGGGAGACCGCTGACATTCTGAGTGACGAAGGCTGCTCAGAGGACAGTGCAGGGTGGGGTCAGGGACCTGCGTGGACAGCTGGAGGGGCAACTAACAGTTACAAAATCAGAATTTACTTAAAGACCAGCCAGGGAGACAAAGGCAGGAGATCGAGAAGTGGGAACCTAGCAGGGAGTGAGGTGACATGTGGATGATGGCACGGTGTTCAGATTCTTCATTTACTCCGGGATGGTCACGGGTCTGTGGCAGGCTAGGTTTTCAGGTAACCTGTTCTAGAACGGCTTCCTCCATCACATTGGTTTCTAAGAGTCCATCATTAAGACTGACGGACCCTGAGGGGGCTCTGGGGGCCTAATGGTAAGGAGTTGTGCTGCCAACTCAAAGGCGTGTGGTTCGGATACACCAGGTGCTCCACAGGAGAAGGATGGACAGTCTCCGGCTGGAGGGGCAGCTCTGAGCTGGTTCTGATTCTACAGTACACAACCACAACCACAAAGCCCCTTTCAGGACAAGCCATGGCACCTTCCATCTGGATAACCCTGGCGGAAAGTCCCTCTAGGGACAGACTGACCGTGAGACCTTAGCCCCACCTGGCCTCAGAGAGAAGGAATGGACCTGTGGGGCACATGATCAGATCAGTATCCCGCTAGAGGAAGGGCCCTGAAACCCACTGGGAGGCCAGTTAGGAACTGGCCCCAGTCTCTGGCTGGCTTTGAGTTTGACGTGCACATTCTTTCTTCTGTATTGCCACTGAGTCAGGACTGATTCCAAGCTGACCTTCCAGTGGGTTTTCTGAGGCTAATCACACAGGAAGAGAGTGCCCATCTGTCTCTGACGGAGTGGATGGTGTGTGTGCTGGTGTTGATTGTAACCCCTGATGCCCATGTGGGTCAGGATAAAGCCATGCTCCGTGGGATTTCAACAGCTGTCTCTTCAGAAACAACTCACCAGTCCTTTCTTCTGAGGTGCCTCTGGGAAGGCTGCAGTTTGCTGCTGAGCACGGGAATGTTTGTATCTCCCAGGGATTGTATATGTGTCCTATCCATGTCTATATTCTCAGAATGACTTTGGAAGAATGCACAGAAATCATAACACTGGTCACTTGGATGGTAGGAGATTAGGAGTGAGAGAGAGTTTTCTTTAATCTCTGCTTCATTAAAAGCTGCGTGCATATATTATCTTTCCAAGAAAAGGAAAAGGAATAGGAGCTTGAGGGATGTGAGACCGCACAAGGCTCAGGTTATAGCTCCTTGTGGTCACCGGGGTGCAGTGGACAGGTGGGGGCAGATGAAGTGGACGGGGGGGAAGATGAAGAGAACGGGTGGGAGACAGATGAAGAGGACAGGTGGGGGGCAGATGAAGTGAACAAGTGAGGCTAAAGGTGAGGTGGAGAGTATGGGTGGAAGTGTGTGAAGAGGTGATGGACAGGTTGGTGGGAGGGTGGGGTGGACAGGTGGGTGGACAGGTGAGGTGGACAGATGAGGCAGGTGGAGGCCTGGAGTAGAACCTACTTCGTGCACCCGTGGGTCCAGGTCCTGAGTGGCCCTTGGTGGCCCTGCTCTGAGCCCGCAGGTCTTCTGGCTCGCTGGCTCCCTGCTCATCATCGGCCTGGCGTCTGTGGTCATCCCCACCATTGGCTGGCGCTGGCTCATCCGCATTGCGTCCATTCCTGGCATCATCCTCATTATGGCCTTCAAGGTGAGGACGCTTCCCATGGCCCCAGGCCTCCTCCACCCTACAGGGTGTCTGTCCCGGCCAGCTCACTCTCCCCACCTTAGTCACCCATGTACCTTGATTGTTCTCGGAGGGTAGACCTACTGCTGCTGGCCCACTTGTGCTTGCTGGCCCCACCTGTGCATGCTGGCCCCACCTGTGCATGCTGGCCCACCTGTGCATGCTGGCCCACCTGTGCTTGCTGGCCCACCTGTGCATGCTGGCCCACCTGTGCTTGCTGGCCCCACCTCTGTATGCTGACCCCACCCCTGGTGCTACTCACAGCTCTCAGTCACCTCTCACCTGCTTACCTTGAATCTGCAAGCTTCTCAGTTACATAGTCCCCTGACTTCGAGTTGACATCTGCTCACTGTTCTCTGTGCCACAGTGACACAGAGACACATTCCATGAGTGGACCCCAGTCTATGGAGCCCCAAGTACCCCAGAACCAGGCCCCACAGGGTTCACAGTGGCTGACTTTTCAGGCCTTCCTCTGTTCAAACTTGAACTTCGCACCTTTTGGGTTTGACAGTCAAGCGATTAACCGTGTGCACACTCTAAGGATCCCTTAACTGTCATTAGTGAGCCCTCAGCCCGAGGCTGGCATCCCTGGGCCCCTGCTGGACATATTCCCTGCTCTGGTCCAGGTGCCCGGTTCTTAGAATGTCTTGCCGGAATCTGAGCAGAGTCCCAGCTTTGTCATTTTACCGGCAGGTTCTAGTCATTCCCTGCAGAAAAGCAGAAGTCCTTTGTCACCATGTGAGGAGACGTTTAAATCCTGGAGAAAGTGGGCCCCTCCACTCCTTCCAACAAAATCCCAGACAGACACAACCAATGGGCACACAGCCTGTATTGTTGCCATGGTCACATGCCGTCAAGCCAGTTCCAACTCACAGTGGCCCTGTGACGGCAGAAGGAGGTGCCTTGGCCCTGTTCCCCCCTCACGGGCACAGCTGTGCATGCACCCCTTGTAACTGTGGGGTTAATACGCCTCGTTGGGAGGCTTCCTTCTCCTCACACCCCTCTGCTTTACCCAGTGTGGTGCCCTTCTCCACATCTCTACAAGGGAACGAGGAGCTGGCTTACACAGTGGAGGGGCTGGCACGCCCACAGCCTGCGGTGGAGGCCAGTGGGCTGGAAGCTGAGGGAGAGCGAAGCTGGTGGCCTGCAGTCTGGGTCACTAAGGGCCATCGAGGCCAACTGCCTGTGGGAAGACTCAGGCTCTGCTCACAAGGCCTTTCACCTGGCTGGCTGGGGCCCACCTGAACTTTGGAGAGTAATCAACTTTCCTAAAGTTAGCTGATAAACCGACTGCCCTTCAGTTTATTTCAGACTCATGAGGACCCCCCACTGGGCTTCTGAGGGAGTAAATCTTAACAGGAGCAGACTGACTCATCTTTATCCTTACGGAACGCTGGTGGATTCAACCACTGACCTTTTGGTTAGCCCAGTAGACAGCACACAATGCCTCTGGAGTTCCAATGATACACACTGGCAAGCTAAAGCAACCCCATTGGCCTCGAGTTGGAACTGACTCATGGCTGACCCTCCAGTGGGCTTTCAGAGGCTCTAAACCCCCGGGAGGAGACTGCCCATCTTTCTCCCGCAGAACAGCTGGTGGATTTGTACCTGCAGAGACGGTTAGCAGCACCCTAAGAACTAGGCCAACCAGGGTCCCCCTGCTAATGAAATGTGTGTTAATGAAGCTTTTCAGTAAGACACGGACAGCATGGCGACATCTAGGCCTGAACACTGACCATCGCACATGCATCTACTCTTGCATCAGTCTGTCCATCTTCTGCATGGGGGGAGGTCATGACCGTGAGTCCCGGGTAGTGGACTGAGCTGCGATGTGCTGGGGTCGGTGCTCAGAGGGATCGGTCTTCCTGAGAGAGAACATCTATCTCCACCGCTGTAATACAGGGGCCACTGCTGCCCAGCCCGTGGGACCACCCCGCCACCCCGCCATCTGCCCTTGTGAGCCGTGTCCAAGCCTCTCCACCCAAGAACACCCGGGCCTGGACTAGAGTGAAGAGTGTGTTTTCTGAATGTGCAGTGATTTACCTGGTGGCTCACTGTCCCTGGACTCGCCTCTAGGGGGCAGTGTGGTATGCAGGGTCCAGAGCCAGCAGAGTCCTGATAACACCCCAGCCCCAGGGAAAGGCATGCACCCCAAAGTCTGAATGAAGAGCACACTCCTCAAACGGCTGGGGTGCACACAACATTAAGTGCCTTAATTATCCTTCCAGGGAGACAATTTCGGTTCATGGGACTCTGTAGGTCAGCAAAGCACTGTCACCCTGGGTGCATGGCACTATTCCCTGGGAGCATGATACTGTCCCCTGGGCGCATGACACGGTCCCCTGGGAGCATGGCACTGTCCCGTGAGGTTTCTGAAGCACTGTCCTCTGAGAGTGAAGCATTGCCTCCTGGGAGCATGGTACTCTCCCTTGGGAGTGTGGTACTATCCCCTGGGAGTAAAGCACTGTCCTCTGGGAGTGAAGCATTGTCCCCTGGGAGCGAGGCACTGTCCCCTGGGGTTTCTGAGGCTGTCACTTTTATGGGAGCAGACTGCCCCTTCCTCCCGTGCAGAGCAGCTGGTAGAATCCAGACACTTGGGCACAATGCCTCCAGCCTCCTTCCCGCAGGTCGTTCTAGAAGCATGGAAACAGCTCAGTGTGTGTCATTCCGGGAGCCCTGGTGGTGCAGTTGGTGAGCATTAGGGTAGCAGTTAGAACCCTCTGCTGCTCTTTGGGAGGAAGAGAGGCAGCAGCCCCGTAGACTGAGAAGCTTGAGAACCATGTGCGGCAGTTCCCCTCCGCCTACAGCGCCTTGGTGAGCTGAGCAGCTTGGTGACACTGAGCCGCAGCCTTGAGTGACGGCTGAGCCTCCCACGGTGGGGTCAGGGCTCTGCTACATCACTGGCCAGTTGCTACATGGCCAGGGGACTGGGCACCTGGTGAGGGTCTTTGGAGCAGAGCAAGGATGGCTCTGAGTCTTGAGTGTCACCACCTCTCTCCGAGACTGTCTTCCTGCTAAGGAGCTGGGGCCTGGTGGCTGACTTGTTTTGTTGTTGTTGTTGATTGCAGTTGAGTCAAGTGCAACTCATAGCGACTCTGTGAACAAAAGACCTAATGCCTTTCCATAACTGTCGTCATTTCACCAAGTTCATAGAGTTTCCAGAGGCATGTGGTTTAGGAAGTGGATGTCACTCCTGCTTCCAAACCTGTTTTACAACTGGGAGCTCCACCAAACACTGTCCACATTGGGAAGCCATTCTGGCATTTGATACCCCAATGACACAGGGTTCAGCATCACAGCAATCCAATTTATTTCATACTGCACATTGACAAAGAGGGATGTACAAAGTGGAAGAGTGTTCCTCCAGATATAACAGCACTAGTTTCACTTAGCAGTGGTTAAGTGTTGTCAAGTTGAATACGACTGAGAGTACGTTTTGCACAAAACACTTAAACTCTGTTCTGGAACTACCTTCATTTCTGCACATTGAAAGAGTTTAGAGAGTTTGTAGAGTTTCCAGAGGAAACTAGGTAGCTGGCTTAGGACCCCACTTTCCCCCCAGAGCTGCTGGCCAGCCGGGGCAGAACAGCCCAGGGTGCTGCAAACTGACCTTGAATTCTAGAAGTCTGCTGTAATTGATGCCTTGAAGCCCTGCCTGGGATGCGTGTGTGGGAGGCAGTAAGCTTGCGATGCTGGTAACTCAGGCAGGACTTGAACCTCTCTGTCCTATATGTGCCAGTTCATTCCTGAATCTGCTCGCTTCAATGTGTCCACCGGCAACACGCAGGCCGCCCTGGCCACGCTGGAGCACATCGCCAGGACCAACCGCTCGGTCATGCCCGAGGGGAGGCTGGTGGAACCCATCCTGGTGAGTGAGGGGTTCAAGGCCGTCCCCACCGCCTGAGGATCCTGGGAACACAGGTGGGGACTGGAGTCAGCTGCTTGCAGTCGGGGAGCCCAGACATCGAGACTGTAGCCAGTGTCCAGATCAGCCAACTTATCCAGCTGAGAGTTAGGATTCTCAGGGATTCAGTGTAAACTTGTCCTTCTAACACCCCACGGATGGGAAAATCCTACCCAGCCCACTGCTGCTGATTTGATTCTGAATGACAGGGTCTCTGTAGAACAGGCGCGAACTGTCCCCTAGGCTCCCAAGGCCGCTGTCTTTCTCCTATGGAGAGGCTGGTGAGCTGAAACGGACGACCTTTAAGTTAGCTGCTGAATGTTTTAACCACTGCACCACCAGGCTCATTCCCTGGACCATGAGCCAAATCCCTGCAGTCCAGGTGGTGCCCACCCAGAGCAGCCCTCCACCAGTTTCCAAGGCTGTCAGTGTTTAAAGGCAGAGAATCTCCATCTTTCTCTCTCAGAGCAGCTGGTGGACTTGAACTGATGGCCTTTTGGGTAGTAGAACAACTCATTATGCATTATGCCACCAGAGACTCATGCACCACGGCCATGGCTAAAGCCCAGGCCACATGGTCAAGAGGTGGAAAGTGTGCTCAGGCGACCTGCCTGTGTGATCTCAGATAAGTCCTTCATTGTTTTGGGGTCACATAATACGTGAAAATGGGGAGCTAGAACTCCATCAGGAGGTATCCAGTGAGGACTGACCGAAGCCCTGATGTCCACAACAGAAGAGAGAAGGCAGCCTTCTCTCGCTAAGACTTATGGCCTTGGAAACTTGATGGAGGATCGCCATGGATGGGATGAACTCAAGGTAGCGGGTAAAGTTTTACTGTTTTATAAGTTTGGGTGACTTGTTCTTCTAGTATCTAAAGAGGGAGCCCTGGTAAGTGAGATTGAACACTTGACCGCTAACTGAAGTGCTGGTAGTTCAAAGCCACCAGCAGCTCTGCATAAGAAAAGACCTGGTGTTCACTCCTGTGAAGAAGGCAGCGTGGTGACCCTGAGGGCAGCTCTGCTCTGTCCTCCAGGGTCGCTCTGAGTCCAGGTCAATGTGACAGCCTCCAACAACAGTGAAAATAAGCTCTAAAATCTTGAGGTTCTTCCTCCACCTCTAATTAATCCTGCCTCCCCCTCTCTTTTGCCCAGGACAAAAGGGGAAGGTTTGCAGACCTGCTGAATGCCAAGTATTTGCGGACCACGCTGCAGATCTGGGTCATCTGGTAAGAAGGGAAGGGTCTCCAGACTGTTTCTAAGCCAGCAGGCACTTGGGGATGACCGGAAGCTGACTTATTGTCAATGGGGACACTGGCTGCCTCCAATTTGATCCCAGGAACGCCAGCTCTCAGCCTGCACCACCAACATGCTTCCACAGAGCTGCTCCAACATGAAGACAAGGAGAAGGTGGCTTTAACGAGCAGAGACTTATTCTCTCACCATTTACGATGCCAGAAGGCTCTAGAGGGAGGCTTTCTCTACGGGCCCCGGGGGATGTCCTAGCCTCCTTCAACTGTGGCCTTTTGACACCTTGGTGATCCTCACGTGGCAGCTCTCTTTCCGCAACCCCACCTTTCAGCGTTCTGACCAGTCCGTTTCTTTGTATTTTAGAAGAGATTGAATGGAGACGCACTCTATACTAACCCTGCCTCATTAATATAGCAGAACCAATACATTCCCCAAAGGGATTACAACCAAAACCAAAACCCTTTTGTTATCCCATCAGATTCTGATTTTCACGGAGACCCTGGAGTAGAGTTGTTGAGTAGGACAGAACTCAGAGCTGACCTTCCAGTAGGATTTTAGCGGCTGTAAATCACACAGGAGGAGCCTGCAGGGGAGGGGAGGA